CTTACATCTTTAACCTTTTTGATAAATCCACCTATTTTTTTCCTACCTGAAAACTGCGATCTCCTTGGCAGAGCTTCTGAGTCCACTTCTTTTTTGTCTGACTTCTTGCGGTGTTTATAGAGCTGGTCGTTCTTAGAAGCCTTCTTCCTTTGCCCTCTGAGTGGTTACCATCTTGTTTTCATCTTGTTCAGATAGATTGTATCCAAACAATGTCTTTTGTTTCCTATAAAAAAAAATGCTCCTTTCCTCTTACCTTGACTAAATACACCTACATTACTCAATTGTTTCAACCTAAGTGTCTATTTCTTTCTTATTTCTTATAGCCAATAAGTAATGAAGTTATACATACCACAATTTAAGCCTCTAAAATGCACCTGGAGCCCATTTGTTTTTCTTCGCCCTTAATGGCAACATGTTTATGAGAATCATAATTATCTCTCGCCAACGTTATTGAAATAACTTAAGCGGCGTCACTGCCTCTTGTCTTTCTTTCTCTACTCATTCTTCACGTTGTAGTCAGGGAGACGTTCTAGAGAAAACAGGTTTTATGTCTCATTGTTATAAAAACCTCCTCAGTGACTCTTCATTTCCCTTATTAAAGATGCTGTTTTCATGATTGCTAGCAAGACCGTCTATGTTCTAACCCATCCCAGTGACTGAATACTCACCTACAGAAACTCTCTGACTCAACCCATATTTTAAACTGGCTTGCAGGGCTCCGGACTCCAGCTTTGTCTCTCCTGTGGCCAGCACACCAGATGCCCCACGCCAAACTGCACTTGGCTCTCGCTTGTCCTTTGCACTTCAGCCCAGATGCTGTGTCCTCTGGTGAGCTTTCCTGACCCTGAAAGTGCTTTTGCTGGCCCTTCTAGATGTGTCTCCATGCTCTTCAAGTGTCAGTTCTACAAAGGCGAGCATCCCAGTGATCTTGACCATATTTCAAAACTTTGTTCCTGGTCTCCAGCACTTTTGAATGGGAGAAGATTCACCAGTGCAATGTATTGTCTGTCTGACCCCCATTTTCCCAGCTTGTTGCTGTGACTCTAGAATCAGCTTCCAAATAGGTAGAAAATTTGGAGAATTAAGCATGGTATTCACCCCGAACCGTTAAGTTTGAGTTACATCTCTGTGTCACAGACATCTTTTTAGATGTTGCAAAAGAGCCTCAGGAACCCTGTTTCTTCTCACAAAACAAAAGGCCAATCAGTGTGAAGTGAAATGGCCCACACTTTCCAAAAGAGCTATAAATAAGATAAATAAAAAGTTGATTTTCACTTGAGATAAGAAACATATGCACTTGTTTTCCTGAGACTTCATTTCTCATATTAGGAAAGTCCTTCCGCTCATTCACCCATGGTCCACTGCCTTTAAATGCACAGGTTTTGCCCCTGACTAAATCACAAATGTTCACATTTCTGTCTGTAATGCAAATCTTTAACCAAAAGACCTGTACTGAATGTTTTGTTACACATGTTATAAAAAAGCTGATTCACTGTCTTTTACTTTCTTTATTTTCCACTCTTTACTCCTAGCTAGGCTTACTTATTCCATGAGAAGTAATTCTCCTTAATTAAATTTGATTATACATTAAGAACATGTCATTTTTAACAATGAAAATCTTGACTTTGAGAATTAAGGTTTAACAGGAATTTTTCAAACTAGTCTTTGTCACTTTCCCACCATTGGGACACAATGTCCAACACCTACAACTTAAAGGAGGGCTCACAGTGCCCAGTGGGTTCAGTCCATGGTCAGCTGGCTCCAAGGCAGAAATGTATGGTAGGAGGACCTGGCAAGGGAAAGCTGCTCAACCCATGGCACCCAGGAAGCAGAGAGAGAAGAAAGGAACCAGGAACAAGCACAACTCTTCCAGGTCACACCTCTGCTGACCTACATAACCAGTCCCCTCCTCCAATGGCACATTGGGCTGCTGAACTCATCAGTGGATGAATCCACTAGTGAGTAGAACTACCCCATGACCTGATCACCTTCCAAACACATGAAATTTGGGGGGACATTTTAGATCTAAACCATAATATTATGCCCCTGCCCTCAAAAGATTTGTGTCTATTTCATTCTGCAAAATGCATTTCGTCCATCTCTAAGTGTGTTCCAGCATTGATAAAAAGTTCCAGTCCAAAGTTTCCTCTGAGACTCAAGGCAAGCTCTTAGCTGCGAGCCTCTGTGAAAATCAAAAAGGAAGTTAAATACTTCAACATTGAATGCCATAGGTTAAAAATTCCCATTCCAGGAGGGAGAAATGGGATATAGAAGGGAATCAGACCAGAGCAAGATTGAAACCCAACAGGGCAACCATTATATCCTGTAGCAGTATGTTCAGCAGCCAGGGCACATAGTGGTAAGATGTCAGCTCCAAAAGGTTTGGATAGCCCCGCCAATTAGCCTTGCCAATTACATCTCACATTTTCTTTAGCTTTCCTCAGCAGAACTTTCCTGTTCCTGGCACCTCCAACTTCGTGGAGTCTCCACTGTGCTTTTGGCTAACTCTCACAGCTTCACACACTGCCCACTTAGGGAACAGGCCTGCCAGGCCTTCTTCTGAAATCTGGATGGAAGTCTCCTTGACCCCATAATTCTTGCATTCTGCATGTCCATAAAACTAGTGCCATGTAGGTAATGCCAAGTTTCGCCACTAGCTGTTGTGGCCTCTGGCACTCTAGATGGCAGGGCACAATAAAATGAATCCCAGGGAACCAATTCCCTAGGTGGACCTTCTCTAACAGGTCAGACAAGGGCTCTCAAATAAAAGATTTACACTTCTGCACCTCTGAAGCTGTGATGGGTAAGGTCTTGCTGATGTCTGAGATACTGTCAAGCCATCTTTCCTATTGCCCTAATGAAAAGTATTTGACACCATTTTAATGCTAATTTTTTTCAGCAACCATACTCTCCATGGCCTGAACTTTATAGACACTTCTTTTCTGATGAAACTGCAAATTTTCCACATCTACTTGTTGCTGTTTATTGTCACTGTACATTTGGCTAAAAGCAGCCAGTAGTACCCATGCCACAGCCTGAATATTGGGTTGCTTTGAACTTTCCTCCAGTACATTAATTAATCCACTAAGATTAATTAATCTTAGCCTCCCACAAAATCTCAGGACATGGGAAAAATGAAGACAAATTTTTTGCCAGGGTGTAATAAATACGGCCTAGAGTCTGCCAATGGAGTCCTTATTCCCAACTAAAACCACTTGAGCCTACCCTTTACTCATTTCTATCAGCATTCTGGTCTTTTGAGCTTCAAAAAGAATTTCTCATCAATCTCTGCTTACTCTGCTTACTGTATTCTGCAGCTTCTCTAGCCGTCATCTCCAGACCTTCCCAAAATCCTCCCATAAATCAGTTCCAAAGACATCTGAACCACATGGTCAGGTATAGTCAGAGCAACAGCCCTTTGGTACCAATATCTGTCTTAGTCACTTTCCCATCACTGGGACAAAATAGCCAGTAGAAGGTCAGGGTTGAGAAAAACTGCTTACTCCATAGCATCCAGGAAGCAGAGAAAGAAGGGAGGAATTAGACAGGGGGATATACCCTTGGAGATCATGCTCCCACTGACCTGTCTCTTCCAACGAGGCCCCACCTTCTAACAGCATCTTCAGATCTAGATTCAGTGGCTTAATCCACTGATGAGTATAGCATCCCCATGATTCAGTCCCCTTCCAAATCCATGAAAACTTTGGGGGAACATTTTAGTTACAGTGACAACCCTATGAAATGGATACATGCTGTGTTACATATTTCTATTCAAAGCAAAGGCAGTTAGTCTCTAAGGCACTACGTAACAGCACACAGAGAGATTAAGCCCTGATACAATCTGAAGAAAACATGCCTATACTTAGTGATTATCAGTGATGGGCTACTAAAAGATCCCCACTGTCAACTTCCAAAATCTGGGTACTAGGTTACTCAGTACCTAGTACTGGATACTGTACTATCTTCCTTCAGGTAATCCAGGAAATATGCTTCCAGGTTTACATACTCATGAGGTAGGCGATTTAACATGCTTGCAATTGTCAAACAAAGTCAGATACTGTATAATCAAATATGGAATAATAGGAGTAGGTGATTAAAGGCTTTCTGGAAATTTTGGGAAAATGAATGGAGGGGAAAGAGAAGGCTATCTCCAAGGGCAGAGGTGCTTTAATAAGAAAATAGAGGTATGAGAAAGCACAACATACTCATGGGAGAGGGCAGAAACACAGGTGATGAAAGGCAGTGAGAAATAAAGCTACACATGTAGAGATAGCCCACATTTTGAAATAAAGCAGTAATATTAAATCTATATCTAACTTAATGCCCTGCTTTATAAGAAATCTTTAATTTAATTTAGCTATCATTTTGAGTAAAAATATACTAGATGGCTACGAATACTCTTGATAAGCTTCAACACTGGTAACTGAGTAGAATGATTTTTTTTTAGCATTTATTGCCACCTTCCTACAGGCACCCATCAAAGTAAGTGTTTTGAACATTATAATCATGCAGAACCTACACAATAACCCTGTTGGTAGGTACAAATGTGCTTCTCTCTTCACTAAGAGAAAATCAGACCAGAAAAGCGATGTCCCATCTCCAAGCCACAGAATCATCAACCCAGGTTCCAACACAGGTCTTTTGAATGGTAGGTCCTGAGTCTTCACCATGCATAGCATTCAGCCTCTCACAGCAATGGCAGGATGTTGACATGTGGTGATTTAAGGATATTGGTTTTTTTCTTAAAGTTCAATACTCAGCCCTCTTCCTCTTCAACATTCTCAACCAAGGAAGATGTTCAGACAAAGAAAAAATTACAGAAAAGAAATCAGAGAAGTGATTGCAAGATTTTCCTCTACCTTTTCTGTGTGTTATGATGGTCAGAGATGTAAAGCAGAGCCAACCTGACATGCCCATCAAGAGGCTGAAAGAGGAGACACCAGGCCCACCCTTGTGGTCCATGTTGCAACCAGTGAGAAAGAACCAACCAGAGACCGATATTAAATCCACACAGGAGTTTATTACCTGCCAGGACTGAGCCGAGCATCAGACTTGAGCCCAGACTGGGAGAGATTAACATATTTTATATACCTTTGAGGCCAGCAGTTTCTAGTCCCCACTATGGGACAGAACTAGCAAAGCAAGCAAAAGGTACAGAAGCGGAACATCCTGTCTTTAGAACATCTGTAAAACAATAGTTGATTAATTGTTGTTTCTAAGAGACTCTCTAAGGGGAGGAGGTTCCTAAGCTTCCTCCTTTTGAGTTCATCTAAAGGCCAGGCAGGTGGGTCGCTCAGCAGCAATATGGAGTCTGTCTTGCTAACTAGGGTCCTTCAGTCCAGGCCCTCTGTAGGAGCAATGGGTACACAGCAGCAGAGAAAGCAAGGCAGCAGGTGAAGACTGACCCTTTGCCTCCGGGAAAGCTGATACCCACACTAGGACTGCACAACGTCTGATCACAAGATCTTCCTCCCTCACCAGCACAGCAGGATCTGGAAAGATAGCACTTTCCCTGCAGGCAAAAGAAGAAACACAGGAGGCAAGTTACCGCTCAGTTCACCCTACACACATACACAATAAGGATGCAGCCATACATTTAAACAGATCCTGTGTTTCCTCAGCATTTTAACATTCATTGTTTCACTTGAACTTCACAACAAGCTTTTAGGAAAAACCCAAAGCACAAAAAGGTTAAGTGACTTTGCCCAAATCAGAAACCTAGTAAATTGTTCATCTTGCTTCCTGAATTCCAACCTCGGCCATGTGAAGTCACAAGGACAATTCTTATCTCAGCACTGATTGAACAGAGTGAAAAGGTCAGGCGAAGAGAAGAGCCATATTCAAGCCTGACTGGACCTCTAGATACAACCACCCGGCACTCCCTGAGTCCCATTTTTAATTTTAGGTGATTAAAAGAAAAAAAGAAACATGAAACTATAACTTATTTTTTGAAAAGCTAATTTTAAGTGTTCCAGTGGTTTTAGTCATTGCAATCAATTCAAAAATAAACAATTAAGTTCTTTATATATTCTAGATAGGGGATGTGGGGAGAAAGGAACCCTTCTCCATTGCTGGTGGGAGTGCAGACTGGTGCAAGCACTGTGGAAATCAGTGTGGAGATACCTCAAAGAACTAGGACTAGAGGTCCCATTTAACCCAGCTATTCCTCTGCTGGGTATCTTCCCCAAAGAATTAAAAGAATCATACCACAGTGATATGTGTGCACCCATGTTTATAGCGGCACAGTTTGTAATAGCTAAAGCTTGGAAACAGCCCAAGTGCCCATCAACTGGAAACTGGATAAAGATGTGGGGTTTTTTTATAAAATGGAGTACTACTCAGCCATAAAGAACGAGAAACTAGAGTTATTTATAGCTAAATGGATGCATATTGAGGCAATACTCTTAAGTGAAATAAATAAGACACACATGTGTAAGTACCAAATAGTTTCTCTAATGTGAGAAACTGAGAGTGTAAATAAGGGTTAAAATGAATAATTGATAATTTGAAATAGGAAGAAAAGGTCCAAAGGTGTAGGGAAAGTGGGAGGGGAAGGGGAAAGGAAAGAAGGAAAAGGAAAAATTATGAGAAAAGGAAAAAAATGGAAACAAAGTCTGTGTAAATAGGGAAGGGTGGAAGTGGGGAAGGGCACACAGGTAATGGGGAAAAAATAAGAACCAAGATGCATCATGTACAGGTACAAGCACCCAGTGATAAAGGTAAACGTACTGTATGCCTAAAATGTACCAATAAAAGAATTTAAGAAAAAAAAAGCAGAGACTATCAAGCTGAATAAAAACACCACTTATTCACAAAAATATAAAAAATTATTCACATGAATAAAAATTGTTTTTTCATAGTTTCAAACAATTTCTTTTTGAGAGCACCTGTTTGGTATCATCTGAATGAGCAGTACCCACTGGGCCTTCCGATTGGAGAGCTGGGGCAACCTTTCCAGTAGCATCTCTGCCTCAGCCCACACAGTCACTGGGCCAGCGAGTCACAGAGTACTATGCTGCCCATTGATTCCTCTGATGCCGGGCACACACTATGTTGCAAGCTCAAGGTTAGGTTCTGGACTGCAACAGAAAGACAGAGAAGTTCCTGCCACCAAAGTCTCCAGGCAGCCTGTGTTTTTCTGTCAAATTAAAAAGAAAAATCATTGCTAATATCCACGCGAAAAACCTCATTCCCTCTGTCTTCTTATACTTTTAGGATTTCAGGTCTTACATTTGTCTTTAATCCATTTTGAGCCTGTTTCCTCTATGATGCAAGATAAAGTCCAATTTCATTCTTCAGCCTGTGGAAATCCAGTTTTCCCAGCACTAAGATTTCATGAAACTACCTTTCCCCGTTGTCTATTCCTGGTGTCTTCATCAAGGATTGGTGGACTGTAAATGCATAGGTTGACTGTTTCACAGTTCTATGTGTCTGATTTTAGCCAGTAATTAAATGAAATTAAGACTAGCAAAAAATACCAAATATCAATAAAATGAAGAGCTTGGTTTTTGAAAAAAAAATTGCTGGTATTTTAAAAAATAATAGATGCTCAACAATATTGTTAAAATATTTTTAAAGACTTCACTGTTCTTTTTTTTGGTACCAGGGATCAAACTCGGGACCTTGCACTTGCGAGGCAGGCGGTGGAACCACTGAGCTAAATCCCCTGCCCAAGACTTCACTTTTTAGAGCAGTTTAAAGTTCATCACAATGAAATTGAGAGGAGGTTCGCAGAGAACCTGTGTGTCCCCCTCCACCACATGTGTGTAGCCTCCCCTACCACCAGTACCCAGAGGGGTCTTTATGATTGGAAGTCCATGGTTACACTGGAGTTCATTCCTGGGGTTTACTGCGCAGGATTTTCTAGAAGGAAGGAATGGACAGAATATACCTGTACTCAAGTCTATAACTACGCAAAGGGCTTTGTGAGGCAGGGTTACAAGCCTAGAGGCAGAGAGCCCACGGTGGCTGCTGTGCTGGAGAGCCCGAGGATCTCAGTGTCGGAACAGGGGGGTTCAAGGGTGCGGCTCAGTCTGAGACCAAGGGCCCGGAGCTCCCTGGAGAGTCCTAGTGCGAGTCTGCTCTGGAGGCTGGAGAAATTTGGGGTCTGATGTCCACAGGTGATGGCAGCAGAAGATGCCCCTGCTCCAGCAGAATGGAGCTTTTCAGAACATGCCCCAGCTTCCTTCTTTCCCTTTTGTCCCATCCAGGGTACCAGCCCATCGGGTGGTGTCACCCATGACCAGGGTGGGTGCCGCTCCCTCAGTCTGCAGCCTACGTGCCAGCCATCTCGCAAACACTGCACGACCCCCGGACCTGGGCTCGACTAGTCTTCGAGGCAGTCCTTTATCTTGCCGAGTCACCGGTCCCAACTGACAGTGCTGACATCTGCAGGTGTGCACAGTGACGGACCAGCATTACAGGGTCATACAGAGCAGTTTCCCCCTGCAGTCCTCTGGTCTCCAACTTTCCATCCTCCCCTGGCCCTGACTCCTTGTAACCGCTGATCCCTATACTATCTCCACGGGATGACATGTACGGTAGCTGAGATCACACAGTAAATAGCTTTCTCAGATCGCCCACTTTCACATCAAAGTATGCCTTTAGGGTTTCACCTCAGCTTTTCCTGCCTTGACAACTCACTTTGTTTTCACCCTGAGTAATACTCCACTGCTGGGAGGTGCCCCGATGCAGTAACCCATTCGCTGGATGAGGAACCCCGTGCTTGCTGCAGGTCTTGGTACATATGACTGAAGCTGCATGCATGTGCAGGTTTCATGTGTATAAGTTTCTGGCTCTTTGAGGTTGGCACCAAGAAGCACAGCTGCCGGTTATGGGGCTGCAAGCAAGTTTGGTTTCCTAGGCACTGCCACACTCTGCAGAGTGACCACACCGCCCTCATGAACGGGGCTCCTGCACCCTGCACCTCACCAGCGTCTGTGCTCATCTTCGTTCCAGACTGGGGCCATTCTGAGGGGTGTGTGCTCAGTGAACGCTTTTCCAATAAACTTACTGTAAATCATAAAATGAGGTTAAATAAAATTCTCAATTACTAAGAAAGCAGAGTTATGAAAAGTTATTTATATTGCCACTTTTAAAAGACTGAAGGTCAGGGAGGGTCCTCCACAGGCCACCCCTAACCACCCACTCCAGGAAGTCATTCTGCTGAGTGTGTGTGTACACGCAGGTGTGTGTGTGTGCACATGCATGCACCAGCACATCCCTGTGTGCTGAGGGAAGAAGAGGAGAGGGAGACAAAGGGAATGTGTAGTACTTCAGAGTCTTTTTCTAAGATCCCTCTATTGCTACATTTTATTCCCTATCCACTGTGTTCCGCTCCCAATTTTGAGATACAGATACAGTCATTTTCATTTTATATTATAACTGATCTCTATGCAGAACACTATCTGTATTAGAAGGAAAAGGAATAGTCCAATGATTAATATACCTGCATTGATAAGCTTTCCCGGTATTAGAACATACTAAAGATATAATCATTTAAACTGGTACACACATAAATATGTTATATTACTAAATAAACCCAAGTGCATGGGGAATTTCAGTTGAGGAAAAACTGGATCCATGAATAAATAGAACTAATGATAGATGCAATTAGGGCATGATGGAGCCCTCCTTCAAACCTTACACCAAAATAAATTGAAAGACTAGAAGGACAGACGTGATGGCGGGGATGTAGGAACAAGCACTCTTGTATTATTGGAGGACAAAATAGAGACACGTAGCAAAGCTGTGCAGGTCCATGTGCACTGGCCTAGTGCAGCGATTTGGCTCCTGCACATTGAGTCTAGGTAAGCCTGCTCTGCATTCACATTGGAGGAGGTGGCGAGGTAAACGGCAGAGCGCTTGCCGTGGAAAATGGCTCAGCAGTAAGAGGGCATGGCAGGTCCTGCTGGCCTCTTCTTTTGTGAAATGCAGCCAGGTTATAACTTGGCTAGACTAGAAAGTATGCAATTTTGAGTGAAAAGAGACACAACAGAACACACTACTTGATTCCATTTGTATGGCATCTGTGGCCAGGAGAAACAAAAATACGGTGATGAAGGCAGTAAGAGTGGCGATTGTCTCTGTGCAGAAAGAGAAGAAAGAAGGGAGACGCTGGGGAGCTAGAAACACAAGTCCGCGCCATACTCTGGGCGGGAATCGCAGGGTGCACAGAGGAGTAAAACTTCACCACACACGACACAGAGCTTTCACACCTGCCTCTGTATGTTATCGCCCACTGTAAAGACAGACAGACAAGCATGACGCAGAGCAGTGCTGTAATACCCTACATTCACGAAAAAAGGAGCAGAGGCTCTGTGTCTCTGCCTGGCTCCATTATTCCACGCACGTCACGGCTCCAGGAACTAGCACCGTGTGGCACCAGGGGAGTCATCTGGGTGACCGGGGGCAGGGTGTGAGGGGCCCTCCCCACACTCTGCTGTGCCTTTCCAGTTTAAAGGACACACCATATAATCACAACGTGCCTGTATCACAAACAGGTCACAACCCTAACCTCAGGCTCACTTCGTGCTCAGGAAACCTCCAGACCATGAGACCAGCCCTGTCCTCAGCGTGCACAGCTGGGCCAGGGTGCTGCTGCCCGTGGCAGGGCCTGTGAGCTGTGGGAGACTCTGGTGTCACCAGCCCTCCACTTTTCCTGGTGAGGAGTCTTCGAAATCACTTAGATGTTTGGGATGGCGAAGCTCATGTCCCGATTCCCTGTTCCATCACTCATTTAAAGTATCAGCAAGAGCTTAGTAGGTAATCACTGTGCGTTCCAGGCAGTGGGCACCATGGCTCATATTTGATGGAGGAAACCCAACAAGCAAGGGAATGTGTGCGTGTGTGTGCATGCGTGTGCATGTGCGTGGTGTCAGACAGTGATGAGTAAAAGAACAAGGCAAGGGACAGATCAAGTCTCAAGGGGGAGTGAGGTGCAGTGGGGGACCCTGGCCATGCTAGGGGGCGGCTCCTGCACGGCCTTGCTGGTAGTGTGCCGTCTGCGGGCTGAAAGAAGCAAGGTGACCAGCACTGTGCAGCTCTGAGAAGAGAGAGGCTGAGGTGGTGGAACAGCAGGTGCCAATGTCCCGAGGTCAGAGCAGCCTGCCATCACAGAAAAGCACAGAGGCCAGTGTGGTTGAAGCAGAGAGAACAGCAGAAGCAAGCGAGGCCACATCCTGAGGCCATAGAAAGATGCAGCCTTCCCTCCTGGGAAAGGCAGGAAGCGGTGAAAGGTGAGGCAGAGATGTCAGGCTGGGTACACAAGCTGAGCTGTGGGAAACAGACCCTGGGTGTGGTGGGTCGGCTAATGGTCAACTTGTAATGCCCAGCTGAACGGAATCAATGTGGTTGGGCATGGAGGATCCACCTGAGGACTGTTACCAACAGCCATAAAAGAGAACTGGAGGGCCGGGGATTTAGCTCAGTGGTTTCGACGCCTGCTGCGCAAGTGCAAGGACCCGAGTTTGATCCCTGGTGCCAAAAAAAAAAAAAAAAAAGAAGAAGAACTGGAGGAGAAGATCGTGGCCTGTTGACTTTCTAGAAGCTTGCTGCAGATGGTTTTCCTGATGCACACTTGGCTGTTCTCATTGGAGGAGGAGCTCGGGCCTCGCTGTCCCTGGAAATGGCTGGTGTTTTCTCCTCAGGGGAGCTCTGATCTTCACCGTGACCATCACTTCCTGGCTCCAATGTGGATCCTTCAGCCTGGTGGCACAAATCCTTCGCCTCACCGGCATAGATTTTCTGGTTTCCATCACTGGCCTCTGGGCCTTCCAGGTGCAGATCCTCAATATGGACAAGCAGGAGACATTGCCGTGGGCTCTAGGCCACTGGCTGGACTGGAGGAGGAGGACATTGCCTTGGACTCTAAGCCTTCAGCTGGACTTCTGTGGGACCCTGCTGGGATGCAGGCCCTCAGCTGAATCCTTTGGGCTTCTAGTGTGCAGTTAATCTCTTGCACACCTTTGTGTTTGACTCTGAGTAATTATAAAATAACTTTATAAGTTATGTGTCCTATATTCCCTTGCCAAATGTAACACTGGGCTATAAGCCCAGAAGGCACCACAGGTTTCTCTTCCCTCCAAATGGGCTTCTGTCTGTGGTCATCAAACTCTTGGGGGCCTCTCTTCCCAGCGCTCTGTGGTCAGGTCTGGTCCTTTCCACCAGGTTCCCTAAGTTCACATCGTGGGAAGCACAATGGTGGGAAGCTGTCTAATCCTCCATCTCAGAACACGAACTGGTCCTGCTCATCTAAGCACTGTTGTGTCAAAGGATCCGACAAGCAAAGCCACACACGCATACACACACATGTGCAGCACACATGTCCAGCACACCCTCCTCCTACAGATATACTCACTTCAATTTTTACATTTTCTTAACCAGGGGGCAACATAACTAACCACCCGGTGTGCATGTGCACATGTGCATGTGTGTGTGACTACAAAGGTGAACTTAGCTGTAATGTCAGACAACTCAGTAATCACCAAATGTTTTTTAGTTATGCCTAAGACTCTCACAATATTTAATGAGATTTTACCACCTTTTGTAGAGTCCTTGAACACTTTCCATCACTGTGTAATCCTCACACGTTAACACGTAGAGTATCTATCCGCTCCTCTCTGAAAATACATGCTGTTCAGATTGTAAGGCCCAAAGTCGAGGCCTCCTCACGTACCAGGTGAGCAGCACAGAAACTCACTTCACTTCTGGAAGCCTTGGCTTACTGGATTAATGCTTGATTCCTATCTCTAAGAATCGAGTGACTTACATTTTAACCTTTCTATAAGCTTCTCCTTTAATTGTCGATGAGGATCGTCTTAGTCACTTCCTTGTTGCTGGGATGCACTTCCTGACACAAGTTAAAGGAGGAGAGGTCTATTTTGGCTCACAGTGTGCAGAGGTTTCAGTCCATAGGCGGCCGGCTCTGAGGCAGGGTGTCGCAGCAGAGGGGAAACAGCTCATACTGTGGCAGCAGGAAGCAGGCAGCAATCAGAGGAGGAGGAGAGATGTGTGTGTATATATTACACCTCCTCCCACCAGGCTTCACCTCCCAATACCACACTGAGCTAAAACCTTGTCAGTGGTCAGTGGACTGAGCCACCAACAAGTACCCCACCCCCATGATCCAATCCCTTCCCCAAAACCCCACCTATGAGCACACGAGGTTTTGGGGGGTCATTAAGACATAAACCGTAACATTAATGGTGATACTTACCCAGTGATACTCTGGTGACATTGAGGATTTTTGTGTTCTTCACACAGTGAAAAGAAAAAAGTTGGTATATGAGGTTGAGAAGTATGAAAAGCACGCAGTAGCAGGCACACAGAAGGAATGCAGTGCTATTAGAAGGAACAGAGCAGAAGGAGCATGTGTGTTATCATCATTACCCTGAACTGCCCACTGATTAATTAGCAGTGTCACCTTGAAAGCTACTTAGCCTCTTCGAGATGCTGATTGCTAATCTATGACATGTAGACAATAACAGTTCTCTTCATGGGTTTCTTACCAGGAATAGCTAAATGTCCAGAGGTGAAGCACTTAGCACTAGGTCATCTGATACCACAACACTGACACAGACCCTTGGGAAGCTGAGCTTGCCCTTATCCCTGACATCATCGGGAAGGAGGTCAGCTACCTGGAGCCCCAGGTGAGGGCCAGCCAGGTACTGGGGTGCTGCAAGGGAGTCCCTGTTTCCCCACACTTGAGAAGGATGGGAGTAAGGGGGATTCGGACTTGAAAGGACAGTGCTCTGTCCCAACCTGGCCCCAAGCAGGTCTGGATTTGTTTGAGCAGGAAAGTGATGGGGCCTGGTAACCAAAAGGCTGTGATGCAGCAGGCTGACGGATGGACTCGGGCCTGCGTCCTGGCTGTGGGACACGCCAGCTGGCAACCTCGAGACCCCAGCCCTCAATTCCTCAGCTATTAGGGAAAAGATAAAGCACTGAGATCCAGTCTCCAGGTTCAGTCACACCGCAGCATGCAGTGTCCTGTGGGTCACACAGCACGGAGAAGCACTGGGCCCAGGCCTGCTCCTTGCTCTTCCCAGGTCACAGACCATAAAGGGACTTGGCCAAGGTTCCTACACCTTGTAGACCAAGCTTCCCCAACTGGTAATTGAGGATAGTAATAATTTCTAATTACAGAAAGATAAGAACAACCCTGTTACAATGATGGGCACATATTTTGTACTCAAAAAGTGCTGATTAGTATTGTTTATGGCTACTTTTTACATTTGTTCATCACTGGGCATTTTTAATTTTTATTTATTTTTTGGAAACAGGGCCTCACTAAGACACTCTATTGCCCAGGCTGGGCTCAAACTTACAATCCTCCTGCCCCAGCCTTCCAGAGTACTGGAAGTGTGCACCACCACGCTGGCTTATGGTTGCTTTTTGACAGGCACTGTGCTATGCGTTGGGACAGCACAGTGCAGAAGAACCCCTTACACCACCCTTTAAAGACAGACGACAGACACCATTTCACACAGCTTCGTGTCCACTTCGGCCTCTTCATCAGCTCCTTAGCTATTCCCTGATAGCAAAATAGCCCAGTTTCTCTCTCTTCCCTGGCCTTTGCTAGACAAAGCCTGATTTGTCCACACCCTTTGGAAATGTGATGTCAGAGTGGACTCAACATCCAACCATGGCATCATCGACCTGGAACACCACAAGAGGATCTGAGTCTGGACTCAGCCCTCTACTTCAGCTGCTCCAGCCAGCATTTCCCTCTCTTCTCTCTTCCCACAGCAGCCCAAGAGGAAATTCAATAGAGCTCCCAAGCTCATTGGTACACTGCATAGCCAGAGAAAGTATTTGGTTATTTTTAAACAAGATGAAACATAAATAAAGATTCTGTGTACAGATCCAACCTGGAAATGTGAGACTGAAGGAGTCTCTTATGTCTCATTACTCTTGCACGCTCTAAACTTGTGTCATGGAAAACACAGATGTTTTCATCTGCAGAAACAATTAAAATGACTAAAAATGGCCAAACTTAACCAAGAAAAAATGAACTTGAAGGATACTGTAAAAGAAAACTCCATAGTAAAGTTAGGAACATCTTCGTTATTAATGTCACGAATCCTTGTATAAAGCTGCAGTTCCATAGAGTGATGAAGCAGACAGAAAGCGGATTCACACCCTCCACAGCCGCGCCTCCCATGCTCAGCTCCTGAAAACCACGTGGACCACGGAGAGCTGCACGTGGAGACAGGAAACAGGTCGTCCTGCAGCCCGGGGCCTTCCCAGAGTGCAGAGGCCTGCAGTGGGGACCTGCACCCTCCGAGCATCGGGCCTGAGAAATCACGGCTGGATGAAAGTCTCATTCTGTCTCCCGAAAGCGGCTGGAGCCTGGGGCGGATGGCCCGGCAGCTCTGTAGTCAAACCCAGCCGCTCACCGCCAGCTTTGCGAGCGAGCTCGTTAGCAGTGTGCCAGACTCACCGGGTTCACCAAATGATCCATCACTCAGTAGACTCCATCTCTCTTGCTTTCTGGCCGTCTTTGGCTCCTGTATTTAGTTTTCTTGTACTTTTTGGAAATTAGCATTTTTATAGGTGGCAGTCACCATTCTGGGTAAAAACAAAAAAAATAGCACTGTCCTAGTTCAACCATTTCTTTGCACAGATGAAAAGGAGTCAGAGGAGGTTCTTTTCTAGAACTGATCATGGCTTGACCGAGAAATGCGGACCCTGTTCTGTGTGAATGAAGTGCAAGGGCTGAAGAAGCCGGTGCGCCTCGGAGGGACAGCGCTTCAGGTGCGCACGCCTGGCTCGGGGAGTCACTGAAAAGCACGTTTCCTGCCCTCATCCACTTCATCTGTATTTAAAATAACTTTTGAAGGGACACGAAAGCTGACCATTTCAGGAAATTAATATAGGGAACAAAGATGTAAATCCATAGTTATGTTGAGCAAATTAAGTCTGTCTTATATGTTTTGTGGAACATTTGAAATGGGCAAATATGTTTCTTTAACTAAAATGTTCCAGCTATGATTACTTCCAGATGAATGATATTCTTAAAGTTTAGATACTGACATTGTTAAGGAACACAATTATTTTTAAAGGATAATTATAGAATAGCCCAGTTTTGGAAAGGTTGTCACCATCAAACCTGTAAGCAGCTAAGAACTGTGGCACATTCGCTGCCTGCCAGAATCCCTCCTCTGGCACCATGAGTCTGTGACCACCCTTCTGTCCACGACACCATCAGCCCATCCTCCACAGCCGTGGCTCCTCACCGTGCACCAGGGAAGCACTCCTGGTGACCTGGTGGCATTTATATGGATGCAAATAACAGTAACTATAAATGCTTTCCCTTTCAGGTCACTTCCTGTGTTTGAGTCCAATTAAATTATCTTCCAGGGCTGCATATGTACAATTTCCATGTGTTGAACATAGAAGGTGATTAAATGAACGTGTTGGCTTTTTCAAGACCAGTGTGGCTGGATCCTGACAATAAGTGTGAACGACCAACAGGCCTCCATCCGTAAATGTGAGCATCTGCCCTTCTGGGAATGGCAACATCTCCAGTTGGAATTTGACGAACTAATGACTGGCTTCTTCAACATTCTTTCTTTTTCCTTAATGAACCACTGTTTCTGAGGAGAGGGGGCCAAGGTGGCTTATGAGGGGGGTCAACGAGTGGCTGAAGATGATGAAGACCACTAGGGACCCTGAGGAGCAAATGGGCATTTTAAGCAAGTAAAACGGGACGGTGGAGAATGGAACACAAGGGCTGCATTTCAGGTTTTTCCTTGGAAGCACTGTCCCTGGATAGTCAGATCTTCTAGCAGCCTACTAAGTAGGCAGAAGTCGGTTCTTGAGACAGGGGCTTTGATTATAAAAATGAAACATTCTTCAACAACATGCCTCTCTGATAACTGGAAAGCAGTCATCAAAAGAGAGTTCAAGATAAAAGCTGAAAGTTTTCACTTTATTCCCAGACAGCTGGCCTGTCCGGTAGAGGCCGGCAGGGGGGATGCCCGCTGCTTCCTGGGCTGGGCACGGCCTGTGATCAGGAGCAGCCTGAGAAATGTGCAGAAACAGGGGGTTATCGGTTTCTTCTCTTGCAGGTCTACCAGTCTTAAGACAGGTTGTCTGCCACTCCGGAGTTATCTTTAATGCCAATTCAGTCTCAGAGTTTACCATAAATTCATACCGATTTGGATTTCCCTACCTTCTCTGGCCGTCTCTCTGTCATCCCACACACACATTCGGCTTCTGGATTGCAATAGCACGAATTAGCCAGTATGTTGCAGCATTTTGTCCCCACTGGACTAACAAAGGAACTTCTGCCATCTTCAAGCCTTCTCCTGCAAGTATTTCCGAGACTGCAGCAGGCAGCCTATTCCTGAGCACACCACCTCATGCAGGGCGCCGCACCTGGCCCCCCGAGGCGCAACCTGCCTGTCCCTTGATGGTGCCCAACCAAGCCTAGACCGAGGTTTTGTAAACCCAAAAATGAAAGCAAAGATGGTTTTCATTTGGACACAGAATAAATTCTCAAATTGAGAGACCCAGGTTCAACTAGAAACTAAGCAAAGTTCCCATCAGGAGTAAAGAGGACTGGAATTTTCAAGGGAAAAGAGGAACAATGGACTGTGCCAAAGTAACTTCTTTTAAAAATGTTTTGATTGACCTTGTAATACGAGCTATTTTGAATGAATGTGGATTAATACTGGGGTCTCTTCACACATTTAGCCATGCATGATTGGTTGCTAGGGGCTACTGTTAGGGTCTGTCAGTAAGCAGTATCTTTGAGATAGCCAACAAGTCAACAGAAGCCCCAGAATTGGAAACTCTCTGTGTTTCCAGGAAGCACATTCTTTACAACTGCATCCTTTATTTGGAGGTCAAAGATTGAGGAACTGCTGTTTGTGTGGTGAACAGCACTCTATCCAATCCAACTCCGGAATCTCACAGAGCAATTGTGCTCTCTTTTTTCACCAAACTGCAGCCCTCTTGATTTTTATTTCCATGGTCCCTTGGATCTTGCACGTCTTCCTTGTCAGGATGCACCTTCAGTGGTAATATTCTGGCCTAATGGAGAATATGTCTTCTATGTAGATCTCCAAGAAGAGTTGAAAAGGTTCGAAGTGTATGTCTTTTACCCCAAAGTTTGCAAAGATTTAGACAAAGCAATTGCTTCTGGTTTTGGTATATGGCAACTTTGTGCTCCCTAAGCCCTAGCCTTTAAGACAAGCCAAGGCAGGCTGGGAAGCAGCCCAAACAGCAGGCCAAGCTGGGGCCTTTCCCCAAATTTAAGGGCTCTCTATGGTTTTTCCATACACCCTGGGCTGCATCTGCTTGGATTCCACAAATGGAAACATTGTGGTTTCTTTCACAGGAGGACCCTCAGTGTTTCCAAACCCTGAGTTCCATTAGGCCTGAATCTGAAGTTTTCCCAACATCCTCAGACAAGCCTGGGCCTGCAAGCAAATATGGCCCATGCTGAAAGAAGACAGCTGAACCCTGATTTATGTGTGGGGTACAAGGAAAAAGTATTTGCAAAACAAAAAGTATTTGAGCCACAGTTTGAAGAAACCTTAAGATTTATGCAAGCACTGCAGCAATGATTCACGGAGAAGCATAACAGAGAGAAGAGAACCACTACAGAAGCCAAGTATCAAATAAATAGATATTAATCAAAATTTAAAGATGTCCAGAGAAGAATAGACCGGCCTTCTGTGAGCCCGTCCTGACTTATGGGAACAACTCAACATGTATGAATGAAGGAGTGAATTGTTTCATTGTTCTTGAACAAGTTAAATTGGGCTTCGAACCTCCACTTGTTAAAGATGAGGAGGATTCAATTTCAGTCACTTTTAAAGGAAATTTCCTTCTTTCACAGAGAATGGGGGAAAAATAAGAACCAAGATACATCATGTACAGGTACAAGCACCTAGTGATAAACGTAAACATTGTATACCTAAAATGTGCCAATAAAAGAACTTAACTAAAAAAAAGGGCCAGGGATTTAGCTCAGTGGTTTTGCCACCTGCTGCACAAGCGCAAGGACCCGAGTTTGATCCCCAGTACCAAAAAAAAAGAACTAAAAAAAAAAAAAGCAGCTGTGTCTTGAGCTGAGCCAACACTGGGCTGAAGAGTGAAAAGAACAAGGGAAGTTTTGGTGGACTAAGTTGCAAACCTGCAGGCTGACAGAAAGGCTTGCAGAAACCATTTGCTTTGACTTTCGGAGGAGCCAGGGGCAGAACGTATTTAAGTTGTGAGTAGAAAGAAGAAATTTGGGAAGAAGCAAAATCTTCCCAGGGCAGGTGCTAGAGAAATGAAGTCTCACAGAGGATGGGCCAAGAAAGCATCTGTCGGGGCAGGCACCAGAGGAGGACCCAGAGAGCAGGACTGGAGAGGGAGGAGGAGGCCTCCTGGGGTGGCCTGTGGTCCCTGCACAGGGTCCTCCCTCAGACCCCAGCAGGGGACACCAGGGCTCGGTGGGTCACTCAGAGGCTGGTCTTCGAGGAAGGCACAGCATGGACTCCTTGTCTTCCTGTGCATCGCAGAATCACAGAACAATTCAGTGACCTTTCTTTCAAGTATAAAGATGGGTGCCTTTCAGATCATGCAAAACGCCCCTGAGCATCTTTAAAGAGGTCTCAGGTAACAAATGCAGCAAACTGATGATGCTTCACAGAGAAGAGCTCTTCAGCGAAGGCCGTCCTCAGCAGCTGGCGGTGAGAGCTCCAGTGCAGGACTGCGGGAGCAGAATGTGCCTGGTAAGGAAAGTGGACAGAGATGCAGCTTCTGACAGTGCCATATGACCAAGGAAAACTACGAGAGGGCACAGGCAGGCGATGTTGACCAAATGCTTTCATATTTCTAAAAAGAGCAGGAACCAATGCTGCCCAATTTGATCCGTGCAACTAAAGAACTTGCCTTGTTCCCTCAGTGTACATGATGTGCTTGCTTGGCTTTGTAGTACGTCCGAGAGTGAGTCTCTTCGGTAGGTAACTGAGGTGCAGCAATCCCTTCTGGGGTTTTTCTTCCACTAGATTCAAGAAAAAGGAAGTACTTCAGTGTGCACACTTTGTTTTCTAGGGTGTGCACACAAAACCATATCTTCATACAATCTCAGTGTCGCAGGGGCTCATTCCAAATCCCCCCAAAGATGCCCAGATCTGTGGGTGCTCAGGTTCCTTATACAAAACACCATGGCTGCCATGATGTCTGCATATAAATTAGACACATCCTCCTGGGTACTTTAATCACGGTCTCGGTGACAACACCTAATGCGTGTAAAGCTTTATGAAGAGTTGTTCTACTACATCTGTTTAGGGGATAATGACAAGGAAAGAAGCTACAACGCTGATATGCCCAAGGAACTCGGGGCAGAGTTTGATTTCTTCTCCCAACTTTCACAGCTGCTTGATTTTTATTCCTAGCATGTATCATATTTACAAAAACTAAGAAAGGCAATTACTCTTTTCAGAAATATTTGGATAGAGGTCTTATCAAAATACAGTGAATTTTGGTTCTCAGCCCCATGCTGTTGGTTGCCTGGGGCCCTTGCAGGGAAGGATTTTGAACTTCAGCGAAGTTCAGCAGAAAACAGTTCTGATCAATCTGCCATGGTCCCCTCGAGGGAGTAAGGCCACACAGTTGCACAAACGACCTGTGGTCACGGAGAGATGCCTACAGTCCATACCCCAACAGTGGAAGGAAAGTCAGAGTGGCACTGTACAGGATTAAAGAGGTCCAGAAAGGACAGGCGCTTGCCCCCCAACACAGGCTGGCTAATCAAAACCTTACCCATGAGGGGGATGCATGCAGCCAGCACCACGGTGCAGAGACAGCCATGCAAGGAAGCAAGTGACAACTGCATCACACTGGTCTCCACCTCCTATACATGTGACATTCTCATAATGTAAACTACTTTAAAAATGAAAATTGGAATAGAATTTCTGTAAAAGCTTCTGGCATTCTACGAATAAATAATATTCTTGCATTGATACACAAACTACATGAAAAAACCATTCCCCTCCTTCAATAAAACTATTTTTGTGTTTAATAATTATCTGTCAGTGTCTTAATGTGGAGAGTTTTTGAACAAATGAGAACTAAAAATAATTACAGTGATAATCAGAAAGAGAAAATATTAACCCTAGATCAGAAGAGTAGCCCAACTTTTAAAAATTTACATTTCAAAAGGAGGAAAAGGACACCAAGGAGGAGGGAGTGGCTGGGCGTGGTCCTGCAGATGGAGGAAGCACAGGAGTAGTGAGCAGGAAAGGCCGGTCTGGGCATGGCCAAGGTCTCCTCCTTGAGCAGAAGACCAGAGAGCAGAGCCCAGGGACACTGCGCAGGAGGTGGGAAGGGGCCACAAGAGGTGGCAAGTCAGGGAAGGGCTGGCGAGAGCTAGCAGGGCTGTCCTCTGTGCCTCACACCGCACTCCACGAACACACGTGCGAGGCTTGTCGATTAAATAAGTAAATCACTACATGCAAATAAATCATTGAAGTCAGACGGTGATTAGGGTAGCTGAATTCTGCAGATACACTGAAGTGCTTGGACTTAACACACAAGAGTCATTGCTTTTTACAAAATAGTTTTGAAAACACATCCCAGGTGAGCTCTCCATTGGCAAGGAAAAGTGAGGAACCCTTTGAAAGCACAGTGTGCAGCTGCTGAGCAGGAAGCAGCCAGCAAAGTGCTTTGTTCTCAGGCAATCAATTGGCACAGGACAAGTTATGCAGTTAGGGACTTCGTGTCCACAGCCCCCAGAGTAAGGGGTGCAGAGGGGAAGGGAGAGGGGACCCTAAACCCTAGATCACCTGCATGTAGAAAGCAAACGTACAAGGCGGGTGTGGGAACTTCTGGCAGGGGGACCAGGGGCTGGACAGGGAGCTGGCAAGGACACCAGGGCTCTGAGTGCCTGGGCTGAGTTTCCTAGGATCCAGGATGCAAGCAGCAGCGCTCATGCTGCTTAGCAACCCCATGTTTATGCAAGGATCTGAGACTGGAGGGAGGAAGAGAAGGAAACAGAAACCAGTTCCTGGAGAGCAGCTGTCCCCTTGAGGACCCCAGGCCTGCCAGCCCGGGCTCCCTGGCTGGTGCTGGCTGGCAACCAGGCCAGGGGCTCCAGGGTGCCCCATCCCCACTAATCCTAGCTCTCCAAGCCCACTGTCATTTTCACAGCTGTTCAGCTGCTCCCATTGGAAAGACAGGCAACTCCTAATCACGGCAGGCAGAGAGTGACACTGTCAAAGACAGGACTTCCTTGGGGGCAGAGGTGGGGAGGGACAGGAAGGACGTGAATGCAATGGCTTCTTTTAAAGAGATAAGAGACAGAACTCAGGAGTAAAACTACTCTGTAGCTCCCAAATGTGCTAAGAACTAGGCTCTTCCAAAGGAGATCATATTTGCTGATAAAAATAACAACAGAATTGTCGTCGCTGTTTACTCATCCCAGGCCACAGAAACCTATTTAGTCCTCACCATATTCAGTAACAGTCTCCAATATGAGAGGCGGGTGCCTGGATCAGGGAGGGAGCAAAGGAGGAAGAAATTTAACAAGAGTTAAAGGAAAACGAAGTTAACATCCACAGATGGCTCACTGTGTGCTCAGTGGAATGTGTGTGTGATTTCCCAGATCCAAGCCATGCTGTAGGTAAAACTGTCTCACATAAACTCATACAACCACTATGGAAATCAGTGTGGAGATTTCTCAAAAAACTAAAACTGGAAATCCTATTTGACTCAGCTATTCCCCTTCTGGGTACCAAAGCCGTCATATTACAGTGATCCGTGCACACCCACGTTTATAGCAGCACAGTTCATAATAGCTAAATCCTGGAGGTGGCCTCTCTGTGCCCTACAGAGAGTGGAGAGACAGAAGTGTATTTACACACAGTGGAGCACTACTCTGTCACAAATGATAGACTTGAGTCATTTGCAGGAAAGTGGTTGCACCTTGAGACCATACCATTAATTGAAATAAACCACACACACACGCTTACATGAGAAACCCAAAATATAAATAAAGAGCAAAATAAAAGATAGAAAATGGGAAGTAGGGAGGTGGGACTTTCTCGGGGAAAGAGGAGCGAGAGATGTAGGGAGGGCAGAGGGAAGGGAAGGGACATAAAGGGAATCAAGATGTGCCATCTTGGGGCTGGGGATTTAGCTCAGTGGTTTCGCCACCTGCTGCGCAAGCGCAAGGACCCGAGTTCCTTCCCCGGTACCAAAAAAAAAAAAAAAAAAAAAATGTGTCATCCACGTGCTGACTCCCGCACTGAACGCAACTTCTGGGTGCTGCAAACGTGCACTGTTAAAAATAAACTTTAAAGGGCCGGGGATGTAGCTCGGTGGCACCACACCTGCCTCACAAGCACAAGGTCCTGAGTTCGATCCCCGGGTGAAAAAAAAAAGGAAAAGAAAACTTTAAAAAATGAGGAAACTAAGGCAGCAACTTGACCAAGATTGCAAGCGTGAGGAGAGGGAGGGCCGCGAGGGTGCAAGGGGCGGTCGAGTCCCCGCCTCTGTGTCCGGCCTCTGGAGGCTCGGGGGCTCCGCCTTCCTGCTTTGTCCCGTCCTGTGCGCACCCCTGGGTCCCCCTGCCCCGCACCACCTGGGCGGGCGCCTTGCGTGTGACCCGCACGCTGAGCACGAAGCCCCGCCCCGACTACGTCACCAGTGCGGTGCGCGTGCTCGCTGCGTTCCACTCGTCTTTCGGTCCTGTGTTCCCAGTAAACACAAAATAGCGAGCATTCGTTGTGCTGAACGTATGAGTGACGAGTCACTGAAATGAACAGACTCCGAGGTCACGGTACTTTGACTTGCCACGTACGCCTCACTCACCTTTCAGACTCAGCAGGGCCGCTGTCCCAGAAGCCCTCCGCAGTCTCACAGCCCCCTGGCTGCCACACTGGTGGCCGGAGGTGGCCGGAAGTAGAGCTGCTCCTGCATCTCTGGTAACGCCCCACTGGCAGCACTGGTAGGAACACTGCACCGCAGAACTTGGAGCGCTGCAGTCAGGGCTCCTCCTTCCAGGGCGCGTTGTTAAATATTTATCTGCTGCGCAGGCGCGGCCTGTGGGCCAGAGCTGCACCTCCAGCTCAGAGCGCTCCACGGGCCTCGCCCCATGCCTCGCACCCCTTCATAACCTTCCGTTCCGATGCTGGTCCACACACATCAGGCGTTCATTAAAGCAGAAGCTCGGCCCCTCTTTCTGGACTCCTGTCCACCTTCCTGACAAATACTGGGGGTCAATAAGCACGGAAAGGATAAACAATCATAAAGTCATAGTTCCCATTTAACTAAATACTTACTAAATATCTGCAATGAAGAAGCACTGACTCAAGAAAACGCTGAGGAGACTGTAAAACTGCAGTTGCTTCTGCAAGTGCCAGCACCATCACGGGCTGGCAGTACCCTGAAAGAGAAAGGGGGAGAGCTGTCTCAGGCCTTCCCGGGCTCAGCAGCTGGGCAGTGTGGGCCGGGCCTGTCATTCTGGCTCCACCATTGCAGGAGAACACTGAGTCCCACGGAGCAGGAGGACCAGATCCCGACCCACGTCGCCCGGCAGCCAGGCCAGGAGGGAGGATGCTGGCCCTGGACCTCTGCTTTCCTCTCTGCTTCGTCCCTGGGTCTCATGGCTTCAGGGCAGGCAGCAGGGAGCCACAGGAAGAGCACCCTCGGGGGCTCCAGGACCTGTCCTGTCCCCCACGGCCTTCTTTGCATGGCCCTGGCACTCACCTGGGACAGCAGGCCCTAATCGCTTCAGCCGGAGGCCCCTAGCCCTATGCAGGCGACCTGAGACAGGGAGCATCTTCAGGCAGACTCCAGCTGTACTGTCTGGCAGCCACACTGGCCTCCTGTGATCTTGGCGGATGCGAGGCCCATGGGATCTTCCTCTCTGGAGAACCAGAAGAACGGGCGGGAGGGCCTTTGCCCCTCTGCACAGCGCTGGACAGTCTGCCTCCATGCTCCTGGATTCAAGGAGTCTGTCTTAACCCTGGCGGGAAAGCAACTACCCACTTGCCCTCCTACAGAAGCCCCAAGAATTCAATTCGAAAGGGCAGAGAAGGCTGACTTTAACACCCTCCATACAACTCATTCTAAAAGCAACTTCCCACCCCACCGCACCTGCATTTTATGTTTCCGCTGTGGGAAGGCCTGGCGCACGCTGCTTCAGGGCTGCCATGCAGGCAGAACCTCTCTGTGCCAGGGCTGGGCATCGAAACGAGGGCTTCTTTGGGCTCTGAAGGTGAAGCAATAGCACCTTTTCACCCATCTGTGAGTCACCGCACCACATTTTATTACCCATGATATATTCCTGTGCATAACAAGCACTTCAATAAGCATTTCATAGGGGTCAGGTTAAAACAATAATCAGATCCTTAGTATAGATGAGGACTTTGAGTTTCTCAGAGGTTAAACCACTTGCTCAGCATAGCATACATAGTAAATTCCACAGTAAGTTCAAGCAGAAGTTGATTTAACTAAAAACCCTAGCTCTTTGCCATTGCTGTCTTCAATCACCTCCAACCTGCCCATCTAAGGACTCGCCTGCCTCGCCTGGCGTTGGATTACCAAGCCCCACTCCAACACATGTGCCTCTTTGCTCGCTCATCACTGCCAGGAAGCAGACAAGTACAGCACACAGGAGGAGGTTGACGCTGCGCCCGGCTCCTGTGGGCCTGACCTGGTCTGGCCACTAAGACGTGGCCAGCTCATGGGGTCTCTCCTCGCCCTCAGGAGAGATCCTGGCATCCTGAGTCCACTTAAACGGCTCACACCAACTGCCATGAAGGTGCTGGACCCTCAGTGAACACAATGGACAGAACCACTGCAGAACTCCCTGTGGGCATTTCATGAGGCTCCAGTCTGCCACCCCTTCCATCGGGGCTCTCCCATCCCACAGCCCCAGGCCTCCCGGCCTCACCCCACCTGAAGCCATGCCGTGGTTAGATCGGCTCCCTCAAACTGTCGGGGTGAGCCACACGGGACATTCCCGAAATCTCACCCCCAACTCAGGAGTCACACTATTTCCAGGTATCTTTGACAGCCTGGCCCCAGGACTTGAAGGACAGTCCTGCCTCCCCAGGGAGAGGCCACGTCCTCCTCTGTGGTGAGAAGAAGCCAGACCCACCTCTTCCAGCTCCTCAGTCTTCTTGCTCAGGAGTGAAGTGTGCACCCCAAAGAAGTAGCAGAGGAAGTCTCTGACTTCTTTTTTCTCTTCCCATCCACAAGAAAGTCCCACAACGGAAGCCCCATAAAGAAAACAATGAAAAGCAAAGCGATCATTTCAACCGTGTTTTTGTTTGTTGTGACCAGTCTTCTGCTCCCACCCGACATTACCAAGGCCGCTTCACTCACTCAGCAACGTAAGCGTGGGGCCTCAGACTTACATGCACGAAACACGTATCACATCCCACAAGACGCAGCGAAAACTGAGATCTAGGATGGAGGAGTGCTGGACTGATGCCTGTGCTGGGGGACACGGTGCTAGTCACCAGGCTGCCGCTCAGCTGCTGCGTTATTCACAACGGCGTGCAATGGTAAGGGCTTGCATTTTCGCAGGTTTGGGGGGGTGTGGGCTGGGGCCTTCTAGGGCACGTCTGCCCGGAATGCTGAAGCACCGCCGCCTAGTTCTGTGACCACCGCGGGTCCCAGATCACCATTTGGCTTCACTTCCTCTCCAGGAATGAGGAAAGAATGGGGGTGCAATGGGCCTTCCCCGGCATGGTCACCCGGCCTCACCCAGCTCGGCCGGCAGCGCTTCCCGCCCCTGCTCTGACCCTTCTGCTCTGCGCTGCGGCCAGATCTCTCTCTCTGTCCCCCAGTCTCCCAATGGGACCCCTACTTGCTGTTGTAATTCCAGCTGAAGAAGCTGCAGACCTCACTGCTTCCAAGGAAGAGGCCTGCGTCAGCTAGCGTCCCCTCTCTATGACAGATGCCTGAGACGGCCAGCACACGAGGAGAAACCGTTCCAGCTCACAGTCCTGGGGAGCCCCGGCCACAGCCAGCGGGCCACGTTCTGTGGGCCTGGATGAGACTGGGCACTGTGGCAGGAGCGTGTGCCAGGAGAGTGCTGGGCAGTGCTCGGCGGCCTGCTTACACCATTAGCATCGTCCCTACACCTACCTTCAGCGGCATGAGCACCCTGCCCGAGGTCCAGGTGGCAGGAATTGCCAGGTGAGGCTTCACGCCACACTGCACCACTGTGACCCCCTCCCCGAGAAGGGGCCCAGCTGGCACCCCAGGCTGTGCAGACAGCAGGTGGAGCTGGGGTTGCATGTCTCTGGGTGACTCCTCTTATTTCCATCCTGCCATTCAGAGTCTCTTGTCGGCTGGGCCTTCCAAAGGAGCTCAGGTTTCCATGCCCTCCCCCAGCCCTCTGCCTCTCTCTGTCCCCCGTATAAACCCTCATACGAGGTCCATGTCCATTGCTCCCCTCCAGCTGCAGCTCTTGATGAACTCTGCCTTTCCTTGCCTTCTTTGTTCCCCCAGAGTGTTCATCTTGGGCGCCTGCTCCTGAGAGCATGTCTGGCTGCTCACTCACTCCTGTGAGCGGGTTCCTGTCCCCAGAACATCTCAAAGAGCATGCAGAGCTGGTCCTGGGAGCACTCAGGGGTCCCTTTGCCTGGGTTTCACGCTCTGCCCCCCATTTCCCAGCTGGAAGTCCACAGGCAAAATGTCTGGTTTCCCTTTGCTCTAATCTCCTCAGCTATAAAATGGAGGTCGAATGGTATCTAAAAATAGGACTGCTTTAAATGAGCCAATAATTCAAGGCGTCCTATATGGAATTTAAATAGAGTTGGTAGTGTTCTTAAATTTGTTTTTATGACTCAAGAGTTACGTTTTAAAATCTAAATCTGTGAGCAGATCTTCTATGCTCATCGACTGTCATTTTGAACAAGAATAAACAAAGATAAAAAGCGTGCGTGTGCAGGGGCATGGGCTAAATCTGTGTGGCCCTCTCCCACCAGTCTTATTTGGGCCAGAGAGATCGTGCAGGGGAAAGTACTTGTGCAAGTGATACCCCACTATTCCAGAACTGTAAACTGTGGGACAGATTGCATTTGCAATATTTGTTTGAAATAAGCTCAGAGTAAGTGATACCCCAGGGACTAGTCACTGCTGCTAACCTGTCAAAAATCAGCGGAGGCTCCTGATATCATCTGTATATTTACAGGAGGCTTCGCTTCAGAGAGGTGGCTCCAAGCCGGATCTCAAGACCTTCATCTGAACTCTGGGAGGGGTGTAATTGACAGAGAGAATTAAAGGGGCTGAGAAGACCTGGGACTGAACTTTCTCAACAGTCTTAGCTCAGCTCATGTTGCTCGTGATATTAGAGGCTGCGCGATGATATTAAGCGATGCTGAGCTGACAGAGATTAACAGCGTATGCAATTAGATTTAAACGCTGTAATTGGAACATGCTGTTAAGTGCTGCCATCCATCCTGGTCTCCCCTTCTGGGGGGTGTGGCTCTCCTTGGGCAGCTCTGAATTTAACACTGTCCTCTCCAGCCACGTGTCCCCCACTACGGGGCGGTGGCCTGCTGCGTGAGGGAGTCGCATACAGGCTCTGCACAGCCCTCCGGCACTCTGCAGCTTCAGGTGCTCCCTGGGCCAGTTGGCCTTTGGGTTCTGTGACCGGCGGTGTGGACACAAGGACAGTTATCACAGGGATGTGGCCAAGTCATGCTGGTGACGACTCGGGACCTGCTCTGCCAAGCTGCTTGCACACAGGCTGGGAATTTGACTGAGTCTTCGACCGCAGCTCGCGTACTGTCCCCACGGACACCAGGTGTGAGCTGCAGTTCCATTCTGCCCGCCGAGCACTGCTCTCCGCACAGTGGAGACCCTCTCTTGGGCCCGACTGGGACCAGCCTCGTCCATGCCCACTGCCCAGGCTCCACAGGCATCCCCCAGTCTCAGCACCACAGAGGGACAAAGCCCCCCCCCCGCCCTGGACAATCTGCTGTGTCCACACACTCATAGGCCCCAGGCGAGAGCCCCAAAGAGGACCCTAAAATCTGTGCCACTCAGTCTGCTCTCTTGCAAAGTGCAAAAGGGAAAACAGCACTATCATTTGCAAAGATAATTGTATGACCAGGCCTTTCACAGATGCTCCAACTCTGATCTAGAGATCGGTTTCCTGTCACTGACTCCACAGTGGGCCATGGAGGTCTTGAGTGGAAGGGGAGGCTCATCAGCTGAGCATCTGGGACCAGGCTCCAACCACACATGGAGCCATCTGACATCTTGAGGCTCATTCATTCCCATACAGGTTTAGATCTTGGGTCTTAACAATACTGTACTGTTGCATCCAGTGGGCCGTGGGTCTGGGCTCTAGGGTCCCCAGATTCACCCTCGCCAGGCCTGTCTGTCTCTGACATGGGAAGAAGAAGAGGAGTCAGAAGACAGTGCAAAGCGGAAGTAACTTTATCATGGGTTACTCAGTGAAAGCCCTTCCGAGGAGCGGGGAGCCAGAGCTGGGTCACAGCCGCGCCAGGGGCTGCAGGCCCCATCTCCACGCCCCTGAAGCTTGACACTGCATTGACTGGACATGGGGTCTGTTGCTAGGGGGTTTGGATTGTATGGGTTAATAGGGGAGCATGGGTCAGCACGGCGACCTGCACAAGGAGGCGCTAGGGAGGACAGTGCTGCCTGCTCCAGAGGCAAAACCACGGGACTGCTTGGAAACCACTGGCCTCGAAGGCTGCCTTTCCTCCCTCTAAAAAGGGCTCGGGCCTCTCAGCTCTCCCCAGGGGACCCTTCTGTCCCTGAGTAATTATTACCCGTGTTGAAGCTTCGAAGAACAGAAATCCGTCTTCTCATCAGTCCCACAGCCATCCATATCCTTCTCTCTGCAGGAGCGAGGGAAACAAGATACTACAAAAAGCTTACCAGGAGTGGGAGTTTCAGAGGTGCCTTTCCAAGACAGTTTAATGACAGTCTTCCTTCCTTACCAGACATACTGTTCTGCATCGTGATTCTTACCTAAAATGCAGCTCAGAGATCTTCCTGCATCAGTTCCTAAAAAGCTCCACGGCAGAACTTCAGGACGCCAGTCCTCTGTTGGTGAATTTAGGTTCTTCCCAGGCTTTGCTGTGGAGAACAATGTTGCGTGGGCCATTTTTCACACAAGCAAATGTATTCAGGGTAGGATTTTCAGAAATGGAACTGCACGATCAAAGAATAAATGTGTTTGTCTCTTGGTGTGATATTATTGAACACATGATAATATTTATTATTATTTGTGTGATTAATTTATATTGTCTCTGTGTGATATTCCCTGACTTTCATCCCACCAGCAGCTTCAGGCAGCATTGGCCACATGAAGCTTCATCAGACATTTGAACATTCCCAGTTTCACAGGTGGCAACATGATAGGAAGTAACTTAATTTTTTCCCCTCTGTGCCAAAATTAGAGTGACTTTCTCTGTCATAAGACTCTCTAGCTTGGGATTTTGCTTCTCTCTGATCTGAATAAGCATATCCTTTACTCAATGGTCCTTTCCATAATGATTTGCCAAAACTATTTATATATTACAGATATCAGGCCGTTGTCTATAATAAACTGCAGATATCTTGACTAGGGTCAGCTGATGTTTGGCTCTACTTATAGCATTTTTTGAATGCAGATACTTTAATTACATAAGGTGAAATTTATCAAATTTTTTCTCTTCTAGCTTTTGCACTTTGCTGAATAGTTGAAAAGATTTTTTCCATTCCTCTGTAATAAAATGATTCTCACATGTTTTCTTCTACTACTTTTATTATTTAATTTTCAATTCTAAGTATTTGTTACACCTGGAGTTCATCTCAGTGGACAGTATGAATGTGAATCCAATCTTTTGTTTTGCAAATGGCTACCCAACTATTACTATTAAGGTCTAGGCCAGTGGTGGCAAACAGTTTAGAGACGAGTGCCCAAACTGCAACCCCAAACCGACTTATCTATCATCAAGTGCCAGCACTACAATTAAACCTGAACACTGAGGTTCTAGTTTAGAAGAAACAACATGGCAACTTGGTTCCCATGCCGACAAAGAGGGCCCTGCATGCTTGCTGCACCCTGAATGCCACAGGTGCACCACCACTGGTCCAGACGCACACACACACACACACACACACAAACACGTGCATGCACACACATGCACACACACACTCTGATCTGGGCTGTCTCCTTTTTCTGGGGTTAGGGAAGTGCTGAAGATTAGACCCAGGGCCTTCACACTCAGCATCATCCCCCGCCCATTTTTATTTTTTATAGTGAGACAAGCTCTTGCTAAGTCACTGAACTGCCCCAAGTGGCCTCAAACTGTGATCCTCCTGCCTCAGCCTCCCAGAGTTCTAGGGTCAGGTGTGCGCCCCCACTAAGCGAAGTTGCCAGTTTCATTATACATCAGATTCTACACATATTTGAGTTCCACTTGTAGGTTTCCCATCCATCCCATTGGCTTGATTTATGAGCCAGTAGCTCACTGTTTATTAAACATTATGGTATGTTTTCACATTTCCTGGAACAGGCACTGTCCCTTCTTGTCCTTCTTTATCTGTTTTCTAACGATTTTTTCCCATGAGAACAATTCTATTTGTAACTGTCTTTGGTTTTTATTAGGATGTATTCTATGTATAAACTAATGTAGAAAAGGTATGGCATTATTGGGTCACAACTTTTTATGCAAGAACTTGGTGTGTGTTTTCCTCTTGTAGCTCTTCTCTGTAGAAGCAGGAATGTGTGTGTGTATGAGCGTGTGTGTGCTGTGTGTTTTACAGATAAAGACATGCACATGTTTACATGTGATTGTGCTTACATGTAATGTATTATTTATAGTGTGTGCATACCTAAAATATATGTGATATTGCATTAATCAACTGCTTTTCATTGTCTCTGCACAATGAGCAGAGATTTTGTCTTTAAATTTATTAATATGAGGAATTTCATCACTCTACATCTTCATGTTGATTCATCCTTATACTCCTGAAGTAACTCCTCTTCCTCATGGCATGGAATTCATTAATATGTTGCTATGTTCTGCTAGCTAACATTTCATTTGGAAGTTTGCATATTGATATAGGAATTTTTTCAAGTGTGCAAACGTCCACTAGATGATCTTTAAGATCTCTTTAATTTGTAACATCCATTGAGCAAATTTCAAGAAACAGGATGAGAAGAGTTAGATGTTACACATTTTGGTGCTGACTGTAAGATAAAAGGGGAATTGAAAAAATTATTTTTACACTCTGTGCTCAGTACAGTGTCTAGTACTAAGCAGGTGCACAAGCAATGTTTGCTAAATGACTAAACAGATGAACGAAGATTACGGGCCATCAGGAGCCTCGAGATAATGCAGGAGGTGGCCCTGAAGTAGAGTCCCAAGGCCAGCCTGAGGCGGGGAGAGCATGGGGCTGGACCCCAAGTTCACGGAGTCGGATCCCCCTCTGCCCCACTGTGGCCAAAGACTGAGACCCGACACTGAACTCACTTCCTGTCTGGCAGACGGGGAGAGTCGGATGTGGTATGTGGCTGTAGGGACAGGAAGTGAACAGTCTGGATGAATAGCGAGTGTACAGCTTCCCTCCCCCTTCGGCAGGAACACATATTCCAGCTCAGGGAGTAAAGCAAGATCACACCACACCCCACACATATGCAAATAATTGTTTTGTTTTGTTTTTTTACAGAAAGCAAAACACCCCAGGCCGAGGCAGGACCATCGGGTTTTCTGTGACGCAGAGCCTGGTTCTGCCCCCTGTCAGGCCTGGCCGCCTGTGGCCGCCTGTGGGCCTGTTATTTAAACCCTGCCTCTGTCTCCTGCTCTGTAAGTGAGCTTGACAGTGCCGACTGACAGTGCACAGGCTGGCAGGCCACAGCCCGGCAGGCACCCAGTCTTGCACAGCTGACAGGAGGTCCAGGTCACCCACGGCATCGGGTCCCTACCAGTCGGGCCTCCCACAGGGTGGAGATGTCCAGCGCCTGGCTGAGGACCCGGTCACACACCTGTGGCTGCCTCGCCCTGTGTGTCCCAGGGCCCCAGCTTCATGCTGCCCTGTCTCAAAGCACCGCTCGTGGGGGGCACCAGACGTGGCCAGCACCGACCGCAGCCAGTCGTAGGGTGGGGCTCCTGGCGCGCAGCGTGTGTGCCCTCAGCGACTGGGAAACTCCACCGAAGGTGCCACTCTCCTCTGTGTCCCCTCCTCTGTCCCCATCCCTGCCTCCATCTTTGCCCCGGATGGCTCCTGTCTCTCTGGGCAGCCTGCCTGGCCCTGCCTGGCCATGGCCCCTGGGCCCTCACCCTTGGGCCTGTCATCCTGCCTCTCCTGCAACTGCTGGAAGGAGACCTTCCTCTCCATGAGGTGAAGGCCAGCCCAGGTCCACCCAGGATGCAATCGCCACCATGTGCCTGGGGACACCTCAGAGCCAGCTTCCACGGTGTCCGACGAAGCCATGAGGCACAGATGGACGGAGCTCAGTCCTCCAGGAAGTGCTGTTCTGCCGCCTCCACCTTTGGTCCTCACCTGCCTCACCCGGTCCCTTCTAGTTCTCTCCCTCGCCTCTGACTTACAGGTCAGGAAAAATCCATCCTTCCCCTCCTGGGGAGCTGTCTACCGCAGCTCTCACCCAGCCTGCTCTGGGTTGCACGCTGGACAGGCATATGCGCGTGCACACTCGTATGCCCTGAGCACCCTGGCCGGGGCCAGAGTGAGCATGTTCTGCTGAGGCGAACCATCGGCCTGCAGCTCTGTGCACACCGGGGGCCGCGTTGCCTCCACACCCACCCCTGCTCTGCCTGCTCCTGGCCAGGACTCCCAGGAAAGGGAGACCCGGGCAGAGCAAGGACGAGCTGAACCATGCTCTTGGACTTTCCGTGCACCCCAGGCCCAGGCTGCCAGCCGGCTGTCCCCAGCCCACTTCCTGTGTGAGGTCCCTCCGAGTGTGGACCGGTCCCCATGGGGGCAGCCTCACTGCAGCCCCCTCCTCCCCGCTCGGTAGGCGTGCACCGAGTGTCTGCATCCCCAGTCCCAGAGCTCCTCCGCACGCTGAGACATCCATAAACATTTACGGATGGTGAGTGAACGGACAAGCAAACGGAACAGCCTTGGGAGCCGTTGTGTCCTAGGTGCACGTCAGAAAGCAAGCACACGTTAATTAGAACAGCTGACGAGCACCTTCCCCAGCAGCACACAAATCTGACACGATGTAATTAGTCCACAATTACTCCAGCAATCAAGGTGTGCTTGCTTTGCTCCCATGGAGCCATAATTGCTCCACAGTGAGGAAGCTGGGGTGGGGTACACAGAGCAAGGGGCAGCTAGGAGCCCCAGCATCATGGAGAGCGCAGGATGTGTCACAGGCAGGACAGGGAGGTCTAGGCTTCCTCAGTTGCCAGGTCTGCTCTGCCCGCACAATTCAGGGCATGACCAGGCCACTCTTTGGATCTCTCTCTCTCTCTCTCCCACCAACTAGATAGATGATAGATAGACTGACAGACAGACAGACAGATGAAGATAGACTGGTGAATGATAGATGATAAGTAGATAGATGGATGGATAGATAGATGACAGATGGATAATGATAGATACACGATAAATAGATAAACAGATTGATAGATGACAGGTAGGCAGACAGATGGACAGATGCATGGAGAAGTGATAGACCCGTAAGTAGAGATGGAGGCACCTAGGCAGGAGAGAAGGCCAAGCGGTGCCCGCCCTGGAGAGGCCTTGGAGCCCGACGCCTGCTCCAGGGACCCAGGGTGCAGTCTGGGAGCAGATGGGCACTGTGTCTGCTCGGCTCCCTCCTTGGTCCGGGTCACATGGCCTCAGATCTCCTCATCGCCGTGTTCTCTCATCACACCCTCCCTGAAGCGCTCACTGGGGTCAGCCATGTCCCCGGCCCAGCCCAGGGTGGACAGCTTGTGCTGTGCAGCTGGGATCGGGCAGCCCTGCAGCACTGGGGCCCCTCCAAGCCTTTCCACATTCTTGATCTAGTGGATTTAGAGTTCCTCAGCTTTATTTCCCTAGGCGCTTCCAGGATGGTGCCTCCAGACCCAGGAATTTAGGACCATAAGAAACAGTGGCACCCATGCTGTGAGCTCCCACCGCCTCGCAGCAACAGGGCACGACCCAGGGCCATGGAGAGTGGAGCAGGTCCACTGTCACCATGTCGAGGAAGCTCCTAGGCCGGGAGTGCCCGAGCTGCCAGGGGACTGGGATCCTTGGCCACACCCAGCCTCTTGCTGATGGACAGGGGCAGTGGATATCAACCTGGCCCTGGGGTCACTCGCTGTCCCACTCTGCGGCAGGGCTGTGTCTTTGAGAGGAGCTTGAAGTAGTGCTCAGGGTGGGGACCCTTTTCCTGCTG